TATTACAGGCATGTGCTACCACGCCCGGCTGATTTTTTGATTTATTGTAGAGATGAGGTCTCGCCAAGTTGCCCAGGCACGTCTTGAACCCGCGGGCTCAGGCAATCCACTCACCTCAGCCTCCCAAAGGTGCGGGATCACAGGCTGAGCCACCGAGCCCGGCTGAATGCTGAAATTATTAAGTAAATTCTAAGCCATTAAGTTATCATTTATTATTAAGTTAAATTTTTTAAATGTTTAAAACTTTAATAAAGTATTAAGAAAAAGGTGCGTGAACACTTATAAAAACCATCCTAAGGTACTGTTCTAAGTGCTTTCCATGCTGACACTGAATTTTTAGGACAACTTTATTTCATAGGAACTGTTTTATTCCCATTTTGCTGGTGAGGCAATTGAGACAGGTAGGGGTTAAGCAACTACCCTCCATCTGGCAGCTGGGAAATGATAGAGGTGGGATTTGAACTCAAGAGGCCTTGCTTCTTGCTCCAGAGTCTGTCCTCTGTCAAAGTCGGCGACGTCTTTTCGTGGGAAGAAGGGAGGTGAGACTGGATGTTAGAGTCTCTCAGATTACTCCCACGGGATTGTCCTATCTACAGTTTCTCATGAGAATGAAGTGGCCTCCAAGTGAGAGGTATCTTGCTTTTGTTCTGAGACGTTGCGTCATCTTTCTAGATCTGTTTTCTCTTCAGTAAAAGAGATTGGGACTAGGTAACCTCTGGGATCTGTTTCAGTTCTAAGGTAGCCTACATTTCTAGCATTCCTGCACAGAAATGCTGTTCTCTCGGAGCCTGTGGAAAGAAGCAAGTCAGTTTCTGCTTCCGAGACCCTTCAAGCTAGAAGCTGCAGGAAAGGGTGCATTAGATATCTGGAAAGGCCTGTACGCAAGAAATGAGGGTTAGAGCTCCAGAAAACGTCAACCTGTACCTAAGAAACATAGCAGAAACACTTACAAATGCCTACGGTGTGCTGTGTGTTTTATACAGATATGACTTAATTCTCACAGCGACCTCGTGAAGTAGGTTACTTAAAACTTTAAGAGGGGGGAGCTTGGACACCCCAAGGGACTTGCCCAAGATGGCCCAGCTGGTAAAGGGATGCAGGCGGGATTCAAATCCAGTCTGTCTGATTTCAACGCCCACGCTCATTTCACAGGGCGCCCCTCGTTAAATATCTCTCATTCCATTTTCAGGGCCAGCCTACGGGGTGGCTATTATCACCTCCATTCAGAACGGGGAAGCGACTTGCCCAGCAAGTCGGGAGGAGAGCCCGCCGCGC